CGGGCCCAGCCGCTCCGCGGCGTGTGGGATCTTCCCGGACCGGGGCAGGAACCCATGTCCCCTGCATCGGCAGGCGGACTCTCAACCCCCTAGCCACCAGGGAAGCCCTGGGTAAATCATTTTACCTCTAGTGTCTGAGCACCCCATTTGATGGATGATCATTAGGCTCACCTGGGGAACGTGTTGACCTGCAAACTTGTGGCTCCTTTTCCTGGAGGTTCCCCTTCAGTGGGTCAGCAAATGACCCTGGAAGCCATATTTATAAAAATCACCCAACTCTTTCTTACATTCAGGGCATCTACAAGATCTGGAAAATGAAGACCTAAAAGTTCTGCCAGATATCACTTCTCTCACCTTGTGCAAATTAACAGTTGTTGTGGGTCTGAGGTGTTTGGATTAATTTCGTGTTCTCTATTTTCACTGTTATTTCTACTACGACTAACAGCATTAACGGTACCTCCACTGCTAATAATAATGATAATAATAAGCAGCAGTAACACAGAATGTCAAGGGTAGTACCCTGTTCTTTAAGACTAAAATGGAACATTCTCAAACACCATCCCTAGTGTATATCGTCACATCTCACTAGGTATTCTGGGGTTGGGAAATCTTATCCCTCGCCTGGACCCCAAGTTCCTGTTTCATCTGATGTCGAGATCAGTCAGTGTGTCTTCTTGCTATCTTTACCCCTGACTATGTTCACTCAGACTAGCACAACCTCCACTCACACCAGGCCTCTGCATGGAAAGTAGACTTTACAAAAAGTTTGCGTAGGTTCAGGGGACCTGTGACAAATAACTTGACGTTAAATCATGCCTACCCTCTGCCTGAGAATTCTGTCTGCTTTTCTGCCAGCTCAGACTCCAGGCATTTGTCATGTTGCTGGATTCTGGCCTTCAGGCCTCTTTTACCCCACTCTGTATGGCCAAATAAACAAAGAAACGAATGAATAAACAAATAATATTTGCATTTATAGATAAAATATATATGTATATGTGCATTTTATGTGTATACGTATATTTATGTATAAAATAATATATACGTGTATGTGTGTATAGGCATATATTATATATATACAAACATACAGACACACACATATGTGCAAATGTTCTTTTGCAGAACAATTCACCTCGCTTCCTTTATTTCTCGCCAGAACACTTGGACGTAGTTGTTGTCATTTCCGTCGTTTTGCAGATGAAGACTTCATCTTCACAGCTCTTCAGAGGTTCCAGGGAAATCAAGTTTGTTGCTTGAGGTCCAATAGGGAGTAAAGGCTATAGGGACAAAGCAGAGGCAAACCCCTGACTTCTCACTTCTAAATCCAGAACTTTCCCTTTCACAGCAGCGGTTCTCCACTCTGGATGCACATTAGCATCACCTGGGGTGGGCTTTGAAAATCCGCATGCCAGAGCTCCAGTCCAGTACAATGAACACAGAATCTCTGGGTGTGGCGCTCAGGTAACTGTATATTTAGAACGCTTCCCTGGTGATCCTAAAGTGCACACCTGCTCAGACCAGTCTGGGGACCGAGAACCATCACACGCACAGAGGTAAAGGCTGTGCTCCTGGCTTTTCTGGACCATGGACTAGGCCCTGCTTTGCTCCCACACCCTCACCCAACCTTCTTCTCAATGTTGTCTTCAGACCCAAACTTCTGGATCATTTGATAACATTGCACGTGAGCATTTACCGGTCTGAAAAGTCTGTCCGCAATCCTATTCTTTCTCATCCTCTCTTTCCTCTTTACAGGCACAAAGAAGCATTCTCATGGCTCACCAGCCCCAAGCACTAGCTCCACTAGTCGCCTTACCTTGCCAGGTGGGTAAATATCGTTGCTTCATAATCTTAGTTGATCACAGACAGCAGAGAGGACCCGTTTCTCAGGAGTTGAGTTTAGCAGTTGATAAGTGGGGAATCTGGCCCCTTGTGTATCCTGTTGATCCCATGTTATCAGAGGGCTTTGCCTCTGTCATCCACATTTGTAAGGTTCTCCCAAGAATGGACATAACATATTCATAGTTGGTTCACAATCTCTCCTGCTCACTGATGGAAAGAGTAGAATCTTGATCTTCCTTAAGGTTCATCGGGACACGCTGTGCAAGTATTTCTTTGAGAGGCAGGTGGCACAGGGGGAAGAATGAATTTTTGGTGAGAGAGAGAGACTTGGGTTCAAATCTCAGCTTTGCCGTGTTCACACTGTGCAGGCTCACTACACTTATTCAGCTTCTTGGAGCTTCTGTTTTCTCATCTGTCTGCATGATGATAAGAATTAGAAATAATACTCATCAGTTTAACATAGTACTGACTCATAGAGGGTGCTCATAGCGAGTATCTACTATTGAGAAATAAGGAGGTCATGGACGATCTGTACTGGATCCTATCTAACATTTACTAGAAAATTTTAAGCATTCATGACAATCCTGTGTAATCACTATTTAATGTGAGAGGTACCTATTGGTCACTGTCTCCATGCATAGGCTTACATTCTCTATGCAAATTAGGTTCCAAGTAGAACTTGGAAAAACACATTTATTTGGAGGGAAGGAGAGATTGTAACGGGTAAATATGGACATTGTAGAAAAATCGAAAAATAATACAAATTAAAAGAAGGAAAGATGTTGCCAAAATGCTACCACTCAGAGCTAATCAAGATTACCTCTCCTTCCAGTGTTTCTTAAATACCTTTTTTTTTTCTAGATTGAGATTATACTCTACATGGAGTTTTGTTTCCTCCCTTTTAAAATTAACATTACATTATGAGCTTTCCCCCATGTTATTAAATATTTTAAAAATATTTCAGCGATTGACTAACATTTCATATGATTATGCCACAATTTATTTATATACAGCATCCATGGAATTGGTTTCAGGACTACCCACAAATACCAGAGTCCATGGATGCTCAAGTCACCCACAGTTAACCCTCCATAACTGCAGGTTCCACATCTGTAGATACAAGGGGCCGACTGTATTCATTAATAATCTGGCATTTATATAGCTTGCCTTTTTTATCATTAATAACTTTACGTTCTTGTACATAAGTCTTCTTCTGAGTCTGTAAATATGGGTTTAGGACAGATTCCTGTAGGTACAATTACTGACTCAAAGAGTATGTACGTACTTAGGTTCTTGACCCATTATTGTCAAAGTGATTTCCAGAACAGTAGTATTATTTTATACTTTTAGCAATGAATGTGCCATTTCCCTTTGCTCTTGCTACTGCTAACATAGATACTTTACTAATTTGATAAGAAAAATTATATTTTGTTTGCATTTAGTTTATCTTTAAAAAACTATGTTTTCTAATGTTAATTTATCTTTTACATTGTTTCTTTGGGGAATTTCCATGTTTCATCCATTCAAAGAGGGACAGTGACTTGCATTGTAGCTACTCTGAAATAGGAATGTTTTGCAAGCAATGGGGTGTTATAATTGAATTAACAGGATTTTTTTTCTTGGTTGTACATGAAATAATAGTTCACTTTGTAATCAGCGGCATCTTAGATTAGCTGAAATATAATCTATGTCCATCTGCCTTTTCAGCCTCAACTTAATGCAGTGTCCCTACCCAAGTCCAACAGCTGGACTCAGTATCCACTGAGTAGCCCCTGAACTTACTTGCCTCTCACTCTGTCTAGAACAGTCTTTACCCTTTTCTTCCCTGGTTAATTTCTCTTTGCAGTCTCTCCAAACTTTCTAGGTAGAATTAATGCTGACGTATAATTATTTGCTTATAAGTCCTTTAACCATTGATCGGTGGCTTTTTCAAGGGTAGGGACTGTCTTATTCTTTTTTGTCCCAGTGCCTGCTGAGGTGACAAGCACTTATTGTGTGCTCATAAATGTTTATGAGGCCGGGTGCCCTGGTGTGTGAGTGAGCATTATCCAATTTAATTTATGACTAGATAGAAAGCAGGCGTCTTCAGAAGAAGGCTCATCTTGGAAACTGGATTTGTATCAACTATACTAACTTACAGCTATACAACTATAACTATACAACTATACTGACTGTTTTTGAGTACTGAGTAGACCTTGCTCTGTAGTCTCTGGAAGCCCATTTCATCTTGTCCCTGTTTGTGGTTATTGTGCCCTTAGGATTATAGTCATTATGAGGAAAACATTTCTAAACCCAACAACTTCAGTGTGTAGTGATGGTGTTTGCTCTTCTTTGTAAAGTCATAACATTCCTGGGTCAGGTGGGACCTCTGACATACTGGACATCTGCACGAACTTGCAGACCTAACCTGGTTCCCACCTGCTATGCCAGGGACCTATTGCTGGCCTGCTGGGATTCTAAGACCTCTGAGTCAGAGTCTCAGCCACCCTGTCTTTGGCCTTAGTTTCGTGGTCTACAGTGGTCCCAAATCGGGTGTCAGGATCTGAGTTCCAACCACTCGAAAGCCTGTGGAGGTGGAGTGGGTCGTTCTCAAAACACTTGACATAATAAACCATGCTTTGTTTAGCAGACGCCCTCTACGTCATTCATAATGACAGCCAGCCTGCTGTTTCTCCTTGTGACCTCACCAACGCCACACATTACCTCCCACAGTGCACATGCCTTTACCACAAGCTCTTGGTGCAGGCTGTCAAGCAACTTAAAATATGTTGTAGGATACTCAAAGAGCCAAGTGGAGGAATAAAAATCCTTTAAAACCAATAAAGGAAAACTATGCTGAAGCCAAACAAGAACAGAGATATGCAAAAGAAGCAATCCAAAATCTGAAATGTTAAAAAGCAAACAAACAGGGCTTCCCTGGTGGCGCAGTGGTTAAGAACTTGCCTGCCAATGGAGGGGACATGGGTTCGAGCCCTGGTCCGGGAAGATCCCACATGCTGCGGAGCAACGAAGGCTGCAAGCCACAACTACTGAAGCCTGTGCGCCTAGAGCCTGTGCTCCACAACAAGAGAAGCCACCGCAATGAGAAGCCTGTGCACTGCAACAAAGACCCAATGCAGCCAAAAATAAATAATAAATAAATTAATAGTAATTTTTAAAAAGCAAACAAACATATAGTCATTGTGAGTTTTTAAAAACAAAGAAAAACACAGTTGGTGGCATAAACTCAAGGTAGAACACAGCTGAAAAGAGAATTAATGTTGGAAGATAGTCCTTAGGACTTTATACCAAACATACTGTACAGATGGAACCATATAAAAAAAAGAAGAGAAAGAGCTTGAACCATAAAACTCTTAGAAGAAAACATCCTTATGACCTTGAATTAGACAACAGTTTCTTAGATATGATACTGAAAGCCCAAGCTGCCAAAGAAAAATTAATAATACAACTTCATCAAAATTTAAAACGTTCCATTATCAAGAAAACTAAAAGAAAATTCATGGAATGAAAGAAAATATTTGCAAACCATAAATCTGATAAGGATTTACTATCCAGAATATGCAAAGAATTCTTATAACTCAACAATAAAAAGACAAGACAATTAAAAAGTGGGCAAAATATTTGAAGAAACATTTCTCCAAGGAAGATAGGCAAATGGAATGTGAAAAGATGCTCAACATCATTAGTCATTAGGGAAATGCAAATCAAAACCACAGTGAGATACCACTTCACATGCACTAGAAAGGCAAGAATAAAAAAGATGGATAATAACAAGTGTTGACAATTATGTGGAAACATTAGTACCGCCATACATTGCTGATGGGAATGTAAATGGTGCAACTACTTTGGAAAACAGTTTGGCAGTTCCTTAAAATGTTAATCATAGAGTGACCATAGCACCCAGCAGTTCTGCTCCTAGGTATGTTCTCAAGGGAACTGAAAACGTATGTTCACACAAAAACTTGTCCACAAATATTCATAGCAACATTACTCATAATAGCCAAAAACTGGAGACAACCTAAATGCCCATCAACTGATGAATATATAAACAAAATGTGGTATATCCATACAATAGCTTACTATTTCACCGTACTAAAGGAAGAAAGTACTGATATGGTCTACAACATGAAAGAACCTTGAAAACATTTTGCCAGGTGAAAGAAGCCAGACACAAATGGCCACATATTGTATGATTCCATTTATGTGAAATATGAAGAATAGACAAATTTATAGAGACAGAACGTAGACTAGTGGTTACTAGAGCCTGGGGAGGGAGAAGAATGGAGAGTGAATTCTCATAGGTATGGGATTTTTTTTTTATGGGTGAAGAAAACGTTTTGTAAACTGTCACTGTTTGCTGATGACATGATACTATACATAGAAAATCCTAAAGATGCCACCAGAAAACTACTAGAACTAATCAATGAATTTGGTAAGGTTGCAGGATACAAAATTAATGCACAGAAATCTCTTGCATTCCTATACACTAACAACAAAGATCAGAAAGAGAAATTACAGAAACAATCCCATTTACCATTGCAACAAAAAGAATAAAATACCTAGGAATAAACCTACCTAAGGAGACAAAAGACCTGTATGCAGAAAACTATAAAACACTGATGAAAGAAATCAAAGATGACATACAGATGGAGAGATATACCATGCTTCTGGATTAGAAGAATCAACATTGTGAAAATGACTATACTACCCAAAGCAATCTACAGATTCAGTGCAATCCCTATCAAATTACCAAGGGCATTTTTCACAGAACTAGAGCAAAAATTTTTACAATTTGTATGGAAACACAAAAGACCCTGAATAACCAAAGCAATCTTGAGAAAGAAAAACAGAGCTGGACGAATCAGGCTCCCTGACTTCGGACTATACTACAAAGCTACAGTAGTCAAGACAGTATGGTACTGGCACAAAATATAGGTGACACCTATGGTCACCTTATCTTTGACAAAGGAGGCAAGAATATC